GGATCCAACTCGTTGCTGCTCTACAAAGATGGAGCTGACAGCAAGCAACAGCTGCTGTTCTCAGAAAAGCTCAGCCGGAGTGGGCCTGGTTAGAACTTGGGTGGGACGCCACAAGGAAAGCCTAGATTAGAGTGGGAAGTTGAAACAAATCCCAACAGAAAACAGTGGTAAATCAAGATGGATGGATGGATCCAGGTAATCTACAGGGAGTCAAGTTCAACTTTATCATTTTATTTTATTCTATTTCATTTTACATGGTTGGCAGGAAACATATTTCCCAGGGAACTACTTTGCCTTCTATCTTGAAGAGGCGTTTCGCTGCTCTGAGGACTGACTGGGACCTATTTGGAAAGTTGGTCTCCATAAATCTCTTACAAAGTTATGTAAATTCCACACAAGTAAATTGATTGTGCAATATGATGTAAGCAAAGATATGAGTATACTACATGAAAACTATTTACCTAAATATTTAGAGAAATGTTGATGTGAATTCATCTAAATGTGAATTTGCGTGTGTAAAATAGTCATATAAAATGCATTTATTCATTCATTCAATTTATATGGTTGCCCATCTTAAACAAGGGACCCTGGATGGCTAACAACAATAACAAAAACCAGAAAAAAATGTGAATTAAATAGACAACCAGCAGCTGAGATACAGAGCAACCATCAGTACAAGTACAATACAAATATTTCAGTAAAATCTTCTTGTTTTCTACCATTTTTGCAAATGACACACACATACGAACATACCTCTCTCTCTCTCTCTCTTAAAAACTAATCTAATTTCCTTTTCCCTTTGTCTCTCTCACTTCCTGTTCTGTATTCTGCTGACCAGATACATAGATTCACAGATTCCCTCGTCCATCATTCTTCTGCTATTCTCCTAGTGAATTTTGTTTGCTCAGTTTCTCAACTCAGTGGGGCCTGACAATTGGTATCAGATATTTATTAGTTTAGTTTATGATTTATAAGAGGTACAAAAAGAACCCCTTTGAAAACAGTGTCCATTGTAATGCCTTCTCTACAAGAACAGACAAAGGAACTTAATTAGAACATGGATTCATTCTAAGGGCTGGCTTGCAACAATTTATTTTGCTTCATATAAACAGATAACTTGGTATAAGTTAATCCATCGAATCAATGCAGGGTGAAAGGCAGAAGATGGGAATGGACTTCAAATACCTCAAGGAAAACCTTGGGATGTGCTTGGCTGAAGGACTTGCAGAAGTGGCGGATCGCCGGCCAGTAGATCCCATCCGTTTCTTGGCGTCCTGGATTTACAGCTATAATGAAAATAGAGAGAAAGAAGAAAAGGTGATGCATTAAAAACAACAAACAAAGTTGAAGAAAGCTTGTCTCAGCATGACTGAATCCAGTTTTTCTTTCCTCCCAATTTTCCTGTCCCTTGTGCTCTTCTAGAAAAAGACAGAAAAGGACCACCTCGAATTTCAACATGAAGAATTTCTTGCAGAACTGGAGAGGACAGAAAAGCTGAAAGCAGAAGAAGTCCTGACGGCCGAGAAATTTGAGGAGCGGCAGCAGGTCTGGCTCTCTTAATCTTTCATTAAAGTTCTTTCTTTAAAAACCGTATTTGGCTCACTGGTTCAATGAGACAAATTGTTGGAGCAGTTGTAAAAAAAAAAAAAAAAAGTATATAAAAAAATAGGTCAGTTCATAGCATTGCTGTTGGATTTTAAGCCAGGTGGATATAAGCTGGTAGCTTCAAGTGAACTGAATTCAGTTTTATTCTATAAAGGATATTTTCGAGGACCCAACAGAAGATACTGCTGCAAAATTAACTGAGACGGATGGAGCATCACACCAACCTTTGGGGGAAGAAGTGGCTGAAGAGAAGGCAGATGAAGTGAGTACCTAGTTTAACAAATGTACTTGCCATGTTATTTTCTCTAACAGCAAAACCAGGCCTTTGAAGTTCACTTGGCGTTAAAACGAAGCAGTGGTTTCTATCTACTGGTAGTCTCCCTAACTTTATATTGCTTTACAATGGAGTAGAAGTTACACAATATTAAAAAAAAAGAGGGAGAAAATACTTTACAAAAGTATTTGGGGTTGACAAGAATGTAAAGCAACAGTGGTTAAGTTCGGTGTCCCTCCAAGCTACAAATGTGTTTAAAAAGAGGGATGAAGTGCTCTTGATAAAAATAACTGCTGTGAGATGTGATCTGTTGATGATGGATGCATATAATCCAGAGGTATATACTTTGGATAAGAGTTGTCTGGAGGCCATAAAAGCATTCAGGCCAGTCTAAAACTGCCCAGCTCAGAGATCACACTTGGAATTTGGAACACGTTTAGATGGAATTCTGTGAAACATGAGAATTTTTAGGAGGAGGAAGATACGTGGTGTCCCTGGTGCTCCCTGAGCTTGGCTGTTTGCTTGCAGACGTTTCATTACCCAACTAGGCAACGTCATCAGTGCTAGTGAATGTGGAGTTTGCTCCCTGTTTATATACAGTAGCTTTTTATACCATAGCTTTATATATAGTTTATAAACAGGAGGAGGAGAATATGGCTGAAACATCACAAGATTGCAAGAACTTTCCAGATGTCAGCATTCTGATGTGAGATCTTGGAGGTGCTACTGCAGAAAATCTGTGATATTTGGTCCTCATGAGATTTGGACCTTCTCTCCCTCTATAGAGGGGGGGATGCTTTGTTCTGGTGAAGTTTGTGCAAAGCAGTTCTTCAAACCACTTTGAGGGGCAATGTTCTCTGCCCTTCCCTCCCTCATGGAAGCAAAGCAGACCCTTTGCTTCTGCTTGCCTTGTTTCGAGATCTTCCCCAGGTTCTGACAACTGGAAGAGGTTCCCGCTGCACCTTGTACACAGTCCTCTTCTGATTCTCCCATTTGGCTAATGGAAGCACCAGATGAGGCAACATGGAGATTTCATTCCGGAGAATGATTGTTGCCTCCTTGCCTCAATGGGGAGGTTTGTATCATTACTTCACTCAGGCCTAAAAATCTGTACTGCAGCTGCTTTTGGCTGCACAAACTTGGCTTTTGTGCAAGTTTGGTTCTTGTCCTGATTTTGAAGTATTGGAATCAGTCTTGTTTAAGATTAGTGTGATGGAATATCTAGCAGACCCTGAGAATCTAGAGGAGGGAGGAGGACCATTGCAGAAAATATTCCTTGTACCAGAGTAGGATGGAAGCATGAGAAAGAGACTCAGACTAATTCTGCCTTAATTACACCAAGTGCAAGTTGATCTGGAGAATTGCTTTGGAGGCTTTCAAAATTGTCGTGAAGCCCTTCAAGGCTGTCAGAGTCAGGAAACAAGAACCACTTGGATTTCCAGAATGGTCTTTTTTGCTAGTGGGGTAATGTGAGAGAATCCCGAAAGCCCAGACTACTAAAGATTGGTTTCAGAAGAGGGATTTTAATAATGTACTCATGTAGATGAAACTAATTTTCAATCACAGATGACAAGCAAAGGAAGGGTTGGAGGTGCTCCAGAAGAATATGAAACTAAGTCAACACAAGAGGCGTTAGGAAACAAACTAGATCAAAACTATCTAAATGTTGCGATGAAAGATCTGGATGAGCCACCAGGCAAAGTAAGTCCTAGTTTAACCCTCCAGGAAGCCTTGTTGGAAATTGCTGCAGATGAAGATTTCAGTCCCAAAGTCTTGGATGACAGAGGGGAAGACCAGTTGGAACAAGATAGAGCAGCTGAGAAGGAGCATGACGTGCAAGCAGAAGATGACACTCAGGCTGAGAAATACAGATCTGCTCAGGATGGGAATTCAGAGTAGTTGCACAATTCATCTACGCTTGGAAGAAAATCCTGTTGTGTTCAAAAGGCTTTGTACAAAGACTTTGTTTTGCAAAGAGGTGTAACCTAAAACTGATGATGAAAGTGTTGTATTTTGAGTGTGTGATAGTGCCGGTTTTCCAGCATAGATACACTAGGATGTTACGGATAACGTGGATCAACAGATGGCAACTAATATTTGTCTTGGGAAAATGTGTATTTGATGCTCCTCTTCAAAACCTGCTGTGTTCCTGTAGCTTTTGTTTTTGTGCTTTTATCTGTTGGAAGGAATGACATTTACCTACACTGGAAATTCTCTCATGCAGCTGATTACAAATGAGGCTCAATAAGCAGTAAGACTCTTGCATAATTGCAATTATAGATGATTTTGGGCAGAAGGAATTATTCTCAAGATCATGGTTCATGCAGTCCACACAAAGCATTTTGCATGTGTAGAACCATCATCAGCGTTATAGATGTGTGACATTGATTTGGAGACACATTGTATTAACTTGTGTCTTTGTATATGAGCTGTGTACATATTCTATACACAGGTCATATACAGAGAGGCACAGGTTCATATAAAGTGTCTCCAAATCAGTGTCACACATCTATATGTGTGTGTGTACAACTAGACACTGGGTACAAACCTAAGAGCTACATTCACACAAAATGCTAAACTGAGTTTTTTCTGTGACTGTGTGGCTCTGTGTGAACACAGTCCATTTCATTAGATTATAGTTCAGTGTACTGTGCAAACCCAGAAAGCGAGTTAATTCCTTAACCAGGTTAAAGGCGGTATATGAATGTAGCCACGTACTATTTTTTTAAATGTTGCCAAGTAAAGTATTCAGTAGCAGACTTAAAATCATCCAAGCAGATTGCCATTAAATGTAGTAGCCTTCTGCCTTTATAAAGCTAATTGCTCTTTGAGAGAATATTGCTGATAAACACTTCTCTTAAATTGTAACCTTTTTGGGGTAGGGAACTGTTCTTTAATGTACTGAAATTCCTTCCTTTTTTTTCTTTTTTTCTTTTTATACTGATGCTGTTGTATTTTGAAATAAGGCATTGTAACTGAACTTTTGATTACTCTTATGTGTTTGAAAAGTAACCCAGTTTTTCCCTGTATTATGTCACTGTGATTATGATTATGTGTATATACATACACACAAACATACATTTTTCTTTAGCTTTTCAATGTTCAAGGACATTTCTTTTAGCAATAGGAAGGACATGGATAATCCACTTCCATTGTCCAGCTGTAAATTTCCACATGGTACATGTGTAAATCCAAAGACACGGACATCTGAAAATATTAAAAGCTTTCCCAAAGTGAAATTAATATATGTAATGACTTCTTCCAATATGTTTTAGCGCATTTCAAAAACATATGCTTGAATGAAGCCATCTTCTCATCGCTTCTCCAACACAGTGACTTTACCTATTTTCTGTATAAATGCAGTAGGGTCCAGTAAGTTCAAAATACTGTTGTTGTTGTTGAATAAGATACAGTCTTAAGATCTACCAAATGTTTTGAGACAGAATTTCCCATTGCTTAGATAAAACGGAAATTTCCAATTCCTTTTTCTATTCAGTCTTTAAAAGGTGTATATCAGATTAATGCATCAGCAGATATTTGTAAACACTCTTTGTGGGATTTTAGTCTCAAAAAACTTGGTCATCACTCGTAATACTTTAAGTGTCCCTGAAGCTGAAAGTGCCACTGATCGAAACTGAGATGTTCAATAAATGTTGTTCTTTAATGTAAAAATAATAAAAGTACGGCCACAACACCTGGTATTACTTGTGACTTATGAACAAGTTGCTTACACATATAAACTATGTATGGACAATTAGAATGAAATATAGTCAATCCACTGAAATTTTTGGGTAAAACTTTATTAAATATACAGTGGGGCAAAACAGTATTTAGTCAGCCACCAATTGTGCAAGTTCTCCCACTTAAAAAGATGAGAGAGGCCTGTAATTTTCATCATAGGTATACCTCAACTATGAGAGACAAAATGAGAAAAAAAACTGGTGCAGGTCTACAATTTTGTTTCTGGTGTCCTTCGACCTGGTGCAGGTCTACAATTTTGTTTCTGGTGTCCTTCGACCTGGTGCAGGTCTACAATTTTGTTTCTGGTGTCCTTCGACCTGGTGCAGGTCTACAATTTTGTTTCTGGTGTCCTTCGACCTGGTGCAGGTCTACAATTTTGTTTCTGGTGTCCTTCGACCTGGTGCAGGTCTACAATTTTGTTTCTGGTGTCCTTCGACCTGGTGCAGGTCTACAATTTTGTTTCTGGTGTCCTTCGACCTGGTGCAGGTCTACAATTTTGTTTCTGGTGTCCTTCGACCTGGTGCAGGTCTACAATTTTGTTTCTGGTGTCCTTCGACCTGGTGCAGGTCTACAATTTTGTTTCTGGTGTCCTTCGACCTGGTGCAGGTCTACAATTTTGTTTCTGGTGTCCTTCGACCTGGTGCAGGTCTACAATTTTGTTTCTGGTGTCCTTCGACCTGGTGCAGGTCTACAATTTTGTTTCTGGTGTCCTTCGACCTGGTGCAGGTCTACAATTTTGTTTCTGGTGTCCTTCGACTAAGTGGGAGAACTTGCACAATTGGTGGCTGACTAAATACTTTTTTGCCCCACTGTATATGCATTCATGCATGAGATATCTTTGTGTGTATACACTTTTTCCTATTTTTTAAAACAAATATATTATGTCCAGAATAAAAATGAGTTTCTTTTGAAGAATACAAATATCATATGATTCTCCTTTATTTCTCTTCTGCTAAATCTTTGAAATATATGACTATTAATGGCATCATTAACAAATGAAATATTAAGACTGTCACACACTTTGAAGAATTGTCATTAAATACTGTATGACTTGACCTCACATAAAATACACAGAAATTGCATACACTGATTCCCACAGATGATGGTTGTACTATAATTGTTCAGTTGTGTACAGTGTCAATCACATTTGTAATACTTTAATACATATAACTGGTAACAGCTATATACATATTTTTTAGGCAAAGACTAGTAAACCTTTAATGATAGTTTTGCAAGGGTTTGGTTGCAATTCACAAGATGTACACTTCTGGTTTGTATAGTATATTGGAGCAATAGCTTTCTTAGACTATTTCCATAGTCATAAAATTATGTGCTAATAGGTAACTTGATAAGCAAATTGCAAAGAGGGGAAGAGGAGGAAATGGTTGATATTTAATCAATTACAATCTTAGGAAGAAATGAGAGCAGTTTCCTGTTGCATCTGAGACTATTATGATTGTTGGGTGTGAAGCATAAGCCATAATTAGTTTCCACTCCCCATTTTTCACATTATAATGTGCTATTGGAATTGTCCCCTAGCCTTAGGAAAAACTTTACTGGAAAACAGAAAACCAAGCACAGAGAAACGGGATAGTTGTATACAAAAGCTGAAGATGATGGTATACTAAAGTCAATAAAAGCCAGTTTGAGTAGCGTTGACATCCCTTTGGAAAACCAAACCCCATCTTGTGATATAAAGTCCTCTTTCTTCAGTATTCCACATTTTATGGTCTCACATCGTGCTATTCCACTGCCAGCCAGAGGGGGTCGCTACACTCCAGGAACTAATTCATCATTTTTCCCTCTTGCTCTGCTCTGCTAATCTAGAGACCTGCAGTTATAAAGATACTGATATTTGCAGAAATGGCTTAAAACAGATATAGTTAAGATGGCATAAACTGCAGATCTGAACCATCAAGCGTAGCTTAACCAGTATAGATCTTATTTACCCCTAGATCAGCTTCCTTGAGAAGAGTTAGTATCAGCTGAGTTGTAAAACATTTTTTTCTTTTAATTCCATGATGTGTCTAGGAAGATGTGACTGTCCCGGTGCAAATATATGAGAACCAAGATTGATCGCTCTCTGTAGATCTGCTGATTGATAGTCTTGATGCAAATGTAAGAATGGCTTGGTGCATATTTCACTCAGTATAAGAAAAGTTGTTGTTTTTAAGAGTTTTTCAGGTCTTTTGTACGTTGGCATTAATAGCTTCTGTTGTCCCAATAGGAATTCAACTAACTTTGACACTACCTTATTAATTTTGTATCTAACTTAGAATGGTACACGTCAAGTGAAAATAAAAACATTTATAAGCCGGGGGTGTTTTGCAAAGTGTGAATCACTTTTCTCCTTTTGTTGTGCAAAGTTGATACAACCGGTCTGTGTAGAAACCTAAAGCTGTCTGTAAATCCAGCTGGTGCCTCCTGGGATTTTTTTTTTTTTCCAACTTCCCAGTGTAGCCCACACCTTTCAACTATTAACAAGGTGCAATCCACATATTGTTTTCAAAATCAGATAAGGAAGAGTAGGATTAGCTAGCAGAATGTAATCCAATCACTCCAGGTGTATATATGTGAAATTAAGTTCTGTGCACCCAAAGCAGCGTCCGCGGTCATCAGATCTCAGACTTTCCTGCGACATTTTAAGGGCATCAGCCAGCCGTTGGGGTAGGACTCCAAACAAACTTTGCTACTCTTGACTATGGTGCGTGCAAATTTCACAGTGACTTCTTTGCAAGGAGACTGCACGGGCTTAGAGTGAAACTGCTTACTTTGCACAAGCTTAGGGAGTTGCCCTTCCTGCATTATCGTCTCTCTCTTTTTTTCTCAGGCTTCTACTGGTGCTCGATTGCTCCGAGATGGTCCAGCTGGCAAATGTCAGGCACTAAAGGGCTCGCCTGGCCAAAGAGTTAACTCAGAAATCATCCTGGGCCACCTGGTCTGCTGATGTTTGAAGCTCTTTGGACTCTTTGAAGGGATAAACACCCCTCTCTGAATGCTTGCTTAATCTCTCCGACCAGCTAAACTCGAGGGGTGAAAAGCGACGCGCTGCATCCCCCTAAACGTCGCTACCCCTTTTTGCAGCCCAGAACGATCAGCGAAAGATACGGAGCTTCGTTTGCGCATGCGCAGGGGCCGAAGCGCGAGCCCTTGGTAATCGCCCAGCGCCTTGGACGTTCCCTCTGCGCAAGCGCAAGGCGATGGGACCCACGCAGGCGCAGGAGCCACGGCTGTTTCTGAAATTATGGCGGGCGCCGCGGCTTGCTTGGCTGAGACGCGGGTGGGGCAGGTGGTGATGCCGGGGGAAGCGCTGCTCTTGCCCGGCCAGGGCGAGGCGGATGGCGAGCGGCTGCGCCTGACTGCGACCGGGCCGCAGAAAGGGCGGCTCATCTGCGGCCCGGGGCTGAGGCGGGGCGGCGCTGACCTCCTGGTCACGAAATGCGGGTTGCTGCGCTACCGCGGCCCGTCGGCGCAGGCCGGAAGTGCAAGCGGAAGTAGTTCCGGGGGAACCTATTGGGTGGACTCGCAGCAGAAGCGGGTAAGAAGGCTGCGCATGCGCAGCTGTGGCTAGGCTTGCGGCCCTGTCTGCCAGTGTGTGCGTGGCTATATACATATAAGTATATGTAATTTTTTTAAAAAAGCATATTGTAATGTATAATGAAATAAGTATAAGCATTTGGGGCAGGAATGCTGTGTTTATGCCACTTTACAAAAAACCCCATATATTCATGGTGGATTACAAGGGAGGGGACTGCTGCATGATACTGTTTTCCATCCAAAAAAATCCTTTTTTAAAAAAAATCCTTTTTTTCCCCCCCCCATTCCATTGTTAGTATGTCCCAGTTAAGGGAGATCACGTAATAGGCATAGTGACGGCCAAAGCCGGGGACATATTCAAACTCGACGTTGGAGGCAGCGAGCAGGCGTCTCTCTCTTACCTGGCGTTTGAAGGGGCCACCAAGAGAAACAGGCCGAATGTGCAGGTGAGGCGCCCTCTCAAGCACCGCGACGAGCAGGAAGGCCGTCCCGTCGCACGCAGCAGCGTTCCTGAGCGGACCTGGATGGAACTGAGCCGTGGCGGTCAGCATCAACGCGCTCAGTCAGTACTTCTAATCTGGATAGAAGTGGCTGCGGCTGGGCTCGTTCCACACACAAAGACGCGACTATTTTAATAAGTTGCAGTTGGGTGGACTTCCGTAATGTCATATTGTGGGTCACCAGAACGCCTTAAATTTCAAAGGAGATACCTTAGGGGCAGGCAAACCTTTGGGAACAAGGGCATAGGAGATGGCAAGAAGACTCTCAGATACATCTGCTGGTGTGCCTGAGAATGAGAGCTGGAAATGCACCTCATTGGTCTACTGAAAGCTAAATATTAAGTATAATCATACTTACGTATTGCCGTTAAAAGCATGGCATACGAGCTTCTCTCCCTGGTTCTCTTCCCTTCTGACTTTGACTTCTTTGCGGTATTGTTAGTTAAATTGGGATATCAAGTCATGATCTGATAACATTTCACTAGTCAGTTGACTGATGTGCTGCCAATTCTACAACACGTGAGTTTGTTTGGTTTTCCTGTTTAATGAGAAAGCCACCAACTCCATTACTGTACTGGGCAAAACAATTTTCTGATAACATTCTTCAGTTGCAGTGCAAGATATCTTTCAGTACTGGAGATGATGTGAATGCTCTTTTGTATATTTGTGATGCTGCTTTTCTCACACAAAAGATTACTGTCCTCAGAGTGAGTCATGCTGAACTGATACTGGTGATCCTAAAGTGACTGCTATTTAAAAAGTGGTCTCTGCTACTGTGAGGTAGTAGTTATTGCTGGTCTGGAACCAGGGAAACCCAGGTTTAGGACCATCCTTTGCCCAATCCTCCCCTCCTACCCTGGCCTACCTCACAGAGTGGTGAGGATGCAACTGAAGTGGGAGTGCAGCATAGGCCACTTTGTGCTTCTGGAGGAAAGGCAGGATGTAAATAAATGAATGGCATAGGCATAAGTGTTCTTTTTCTTTCCTTCTTTAGGTGGGTGACCTTATATATGGCCAATTTATCGTTGCCAATAAAGATATGGAACCTGAGATGGTCTGCATCGACAGCAGCAGTCGGGCAAATGGCATGGGAGTAATAGGACAAGATGGCTTTTTATTCAAGGTCTCATTGGGCCTCATAAGAAAGTAGGTGTGATAGAATTCTTACTAAGATTTCTTTACTTCTGGAACTACATCGGTTATGCCTTTCGTATGCTTCCCTAGTTTAAGATATTTTTTTTTTGAAAGTTAATATATATCTGTTAGGTTGATTAGTGATAATATCATTTTGTACTGTTCATTTTATATTAAAGAGGATAGAAAGCCGTTGAAAGGGAAGTCTGTTTTGTGAATCGGTTATAAGAGCAGCAGCTAAGCTAAAACTGCAGTACAGTAAATTTCGATTAATAAATTGTGCTTCTGGCTTTTTTTCCTAACTTTTTGTCAAAATGTATATGGACTCCACTTCCCATCAGCACTAGTTCTGTTCAACACACAGACACCATCAGCATTTTCAAGAATTTTGCTACTCTGAGCTGACAGAAAAAAATGGGAAAGCTTGCACCCCAACACCTGTAGAGCTTTTTTAGGCGAAGTTGTTTTATATCACTACATGGAACACCAGTCTTCAGAATACAATTCTGCTTCCCCAGAAAAGAGAAATTAAAAGCAGTCCAACTCTAACATGCATTTGGCTAGCTCTCAAAGGAAAATAATCTAACGATAAGAGTTGACGCCTGATTGATGTCACAGATTGATTTCTTTTTTCTCCCCATTGTTTTAATCTCAGGCTTTTGGCTCCAGATTGTGAAATCATCTGGGATTTGGGACAACTTTATCCATTTGAACTGGTGTTGGGAATGAATGGAAGAATCTGGGTAAAAGCCAAAACAGTTCAACAGACTTTAATACTGGCAAATGTTTTGGAAGCTTGTGAGCATATGACAGCTGAACAGAGGAAACAGGTAATTACAAAACTATTAGAAAACTGATGGGGGAGAAATGACACATGACAAATCTCAAGAGAAGGAAAGAGAAAATGCTGCATATTTAAACATTCTATAGATATATGGTAATAAAAACTAGAGCTATTGCTCTGTATATAGTTTTTTGCTGTTGTCTTGCACTTCATCCTGCTCATTTTTCAAGTGGAAAGTTCTGTAATTAATAGTGGGGTGTTTGTAAAATGTTACCGAAACTCCTGCCTTGTAAATGTTGGTTTTGCAGTGCTATAAAAGAAGGAAATACTTGTTTTTTAACTTGATTTTTATTTCATTTGATTTGCAAATATCATATACAGACTTTTTCAAGAGGAAATTTGTAATTCACTGAGATGTATGTACATGCATATGGGCATAAGTGAATTGAATCTAGATTTTGTCATATAAAATAGATGCTGTAAAAGTGAAATTTAAATAAGGACTACCCAGAGTATTCTATTGCCATTAAAAACAGAAAATTAAGTTTCTCTCAGAGAAAGATTTAATACTTTGGATATATACAGCTTTTCAAAAAGATTGCAAAACTAATATTTAGCATTGACTTCTCTGTTACCCATTTATTTACCTTTCTCTTGAAGCATAAGAATATAATAAAACATTACACTGAAAACTTATTCTACCTATCTGAGGGGCATGCAAGAAAATAAATGAAGATAGCAACCTTTTAACTCAAATGGATAAATAACAATACCAGCAATTAAAAAAAAAACTTCAGTTGTGTGTTTTGTTATGGCACATTTGAATGTACAATCACTATAGTATTGATTCCTTGCTATTTTGTACTGATTCTGAAAGTAATTGTGAAATTGCATGTTTTCTTTGCTATTTTTTTTTTAAAGTTAAATACACATGTTGTTAGAAAAATGGCTAGTCTTGAGTGCTGATCAGATACTAGCTTATAAATGCAGCATGCAAGGAGCATCAAAATCTGGGGTTTTTATGCTGCCAGTATGCAGGAGGGCTTCGATTCTGCCTTTAAAATGTGCTTCAGGGCGTGTGCAAATGCAGCACCAAAACACTTCAGAGCAGCCATGCTCTTTCCCAAGATCACATTCATAATCCATTGTCTGACTACTGACATTGATCCTCTGTGGTTCATTTCAGCTAAATCTGTTTTTCTGAAAGTGGAATCTGCTTGCATTGAAAATATCTGGGTTATCAGTGGCCACTTCCATAATTTAAATCAGTGTTAATGCTCCTGCGAATGCATAAAGTCCTTCTGAAATATGCAGAACTTGTTGACTGCCTGCTGAACACAGAGCTCTCAAGAGCAAATATATAAGAAAAAAGTACATTCCTAGATTAAGGATGAAAAGGGATATGTTGATGGAATCTACTAATTCTTGTTTGATGGATAACTTCCAGTATTTTCTGCCTGTGGATGTGGACAAATTCCTCAGAGGACTGAAGCTGACACTTGATCTTTCCCCTTTTGAGTTGCTAAGCCAGCCAGATGAGTCAGCTGTTTAGGCCTTGAGTAAAGCAAAGATTGATGTTATCTCACTTCCATTGTGTTTTTTTTAAGGAGGATGTTTCTTGAGGGCCTGAAGACATGGTACACATTTTCTAGCATTAACCCCAATCTACCCCACCATTTCAAAGGGACTGGGTACGTTCCTCACATGAAGCCATCCAGGGTTTGGTTGAGGCTGAGTGTGATGTATTAATCCATTGTGGCTTATCACCATGGTTAATGGCAATGCATGGATCCACACATTGCATCAAGCTAGGACTGGAATATGTTCTGGTTTTGGTGTGGCATGTTCTGTGAACATAGTCCTCCTAGTTTGTAAGTCTGGTTTAAGACTGATTGTGTGAAAAGTACTCAATTGGGGTTTATTGAATATTTATTTCATGGCTTAGGGTAATGTGCGTACCAGGCCCAAAGCAGCCAATTCAATGAATTGTGCTTCAAAAGGAAGGAGGGGATAAGGTATTGAAAATGAGAACAAAATCAAATACAAATGAGAATAGGTAAACTCTGTGCTAAAGAGACCTGTCGCTTTCCCGGATTCAGAAGGAAGAAATGCTGACCCTTGTTTGTTGCAGATTTATGGTTATGTTATTACTCAGACCAGATCAAACTGGCTATGGAGAAAATAATCATGCCTTTTCCTTTTCCTTTCTTTCTAATTAGTACCTTAGAAGGGTAAAAAAGGTGACATTCCTGCTATGGCTGGAGAATTAATTAGGAAAAAAAAAGTTACTTTATCAAGACTAGTGCTTAAATAGGTGGTTCTCTTGGCCAGCTCTCCAAAACAAGAACCCGGCCAGGAAAAATAAAAATGAACAGAGCCGCTCTGATTTTCTGAATTTCTGATTTAAATACATGTAGCTATATAAATGCATGTGTAAATAATACACATCCATGTGTACAGCAGGCTGCAATATCTGGCTGACTGGGTTCAAAATAAGCCAGGTCAGTCGGTGAGGCCTTGTATAGAAGATCATCAGAAGAAATTAGGCTGTTTGGAGGAGATTGTGAAGCCAAAATGCAATGGCCTACAGCTACCCATATTTAATAAATACCCCTTGAAATTTAAAGAAGAAGAAACCACGTCTGAAGCAGGCAGGGCAAGCCACGTTGATGCTGTTGCTGAGAGTCTGTGAATAATGGTGGATATAAATCAAATAAATGCTCTGAGCTACTCTGCTTTGATTAGTAGTTCTAATACCGAATCATCACAGACGGGTCTGTGAAGTCACTAGGAGCTGAGCTTTGCTTGTGTGTATATTCTACGTCAGTGTTGTCCAAACCTGGCCACTTTAAGATGAGTGGACTTCAACTCCCAGAATTCCCCCCCCAGCATGGCTGGGTTGGGGATTCTGGGAGTTTAAGATCACTCAACCTTAAGATGGCCGGGTTGGGCAAAAACGTGTCTATTAATTGGACTTTTTCTTTGCCTTT